CCATGTAGCTAGACTATATATACACATATACATATACATGTATATATATATATATATATATAGAGTTGGATCTCGAAGTCCGGGTACCAACTTTCGACGGTACTGGTAGCATCACCTAAATACCTGAAACCCTCAACCTTAAACCCAAAAGCTATTGTTCCACGCCGGGGGGACATCTCGTGCAGACAGAACTTGATAAGGACACACGGTCGAGTACAAGCTGCTCCCTGGTCAAGCTGGTGTGGCCTGGCGTTTTGCCATCTCAGTTCCCGAAGCCATCTCTCTCTCCTCCTTTCTCTCTCCCCCTCTCTCTCTCTCTCTCTCTCTCTCTCTCTCTCTCTCTCTCTTTAGGGTTTAGTAGGGTTTGGGGACCTCTTCCCCTGAACATCAGTGCATATGCACACACACACACACATTTTTTCGTTGATACAGCAGCGAAGTATGGGGGGCCTGCTCGCTATGGCCAGTTCTCAAAAAGTGATGGCCCCTTTGTTGGTACCCTACATGAATATTCGGGGTCGCCCTAAACCCAACAACCCTAAATAAAAGGGACCATGAGAAGTGACCCTATTAACCCTAAACCCTCAACCCCAAACCCTAAACCCCAAACCCTAAACCCTACAAAAAGTGGGACACTGCAAGGTGCACCATCCCCTGACGCCCCACCGGTCCATGCCGAACGTCAGCCAGCATCAGAGGCACGGGCCACCGCAGCCGATTCCTAAACCCTATAACCTAAACCCGAAACCCTCAACCCCAACCCTAAACCCTACAACCCTGAACCTAAGCCCCCAAATTGCGAGATTGTTTTTCCAGAGACCCTACTACTCTGGTACCCGAGAGCTCATACGGATCACCTTATCTTTCTGGACTAGGGAATGAGGGAATGATGCACCCTAGATACTGAATTCAAGGGTATATATAAACATAAATATAAATATAAATATACAAACATATATATATATACATATATATATATTTATTTATTTATATTTATTTATTTATTTATGTATACAGGGATATGAGGCACCTAATTCCCTCATTTCCCTAGTAAGAACCAGTAGGATCTTGGGCCCCGAGATCTGAGACCCCTACGAGGCGGGCTTTCCTGGTGCGCTTCGTGCCCTGGTCGGACGCGGTAGCCGCCGCTTGCGATGCCACCGCGGATTCGGAGCATGCCCTTCGGTGGGGGGTCTACCCAAAAAGGCTCCTATGTAGTACCTATCTACTGATTGAAGGGTAATATAGGGATTATTGTCTTTTGTTCTTTTGGGGTTCTTAAGCAAGTAGTAGCTATGGTGGGGTAGGATGCCAGAATCCCCTATTAGCAACCCAAAATGAACTACATTGGAGTCTTCAGGTAGCAGCACTTAAGTTCTTTAACCGGCGACCAATTTCAATCCGCCCTTGCATACTTATAGAACCTTTGTTTGTATGTATATATATATATATGTATAAATATATAACTTTGGGTGGGGTTCTTGACAGGTATATCCCTAAACCTAAACCCGAAACCTTGAAGAGTTCGGGGTATGGAGGATTGGATTACTTGATTCTTTTGAGACCCTGAACACTAAACCGTAAACCCCAGACCCTAAGTGCGTGACGGAAAAAGGAAACCTGAAAAAAATTGGACACATGTATGTTGTCTCGTGATTCTGGTGGTTGGTAAATTCTCAAACCTACACACAGGCCTGTATCCAACGTGTAAGGTTCCTTCAGCGTTGCTGCAACTGCATGTAGGCTTCAGGAGGAAAGAAGTCGAAGCCTAGAACTTCCCAGGCCTACGGCTTCATCCCCGAAACCTGACATCCCTAAACCCTAAACCCTAAACCCTAAACCCTAAACCCTAAACCCTAAACCCTAAACCCTAAACCCTAAACCCTAAACCCTAAACCCTAACCCTTAAACCCTAAACCCTAAACCCTAAACCCTAAACCCTAATCCTTACATAAAAGGCGTGGTGCTCCGAACCCAGCGGCAAGTACTGCTGGCAGTGCCTTGACCCAGGAGAAGAAGTTTCCGGCAAGCAGTGGTCCCCTAAACCCTAAACCCCAACCCCTAAACCCTAAACCCTAAACCCTAAACCCTAAACCCTAAACCCTAAACCCTAAACCCTCAACACTACACCCTAAACCCTTGACCCTAAACCCCAAACCCCAAACCCTAAACCCTAAGTTCACGGTTCGGGGCCCTGAGCACTATGTGCTCACCAGCCCACGGCCTGAAGAAAACCCCCCCCCCCCCCCCACAATACCTGCAACGGCCGTTTAGGACACCTACATACAGATGAGGAAAGTTTTGGGTTCTTGGGGTAAAGCCCTATTAGGGGTGTTTAATGTCCTCCAATCTGCGGAACTTTTTGGCTTCAGGGACATACGTTGTATCTGAGTTGCAGAGGGTTTAGGGTTCAGCTTACTTCGCCTTTAGCTGAACTTTAAACTTTTTGGGTTTCTTGTTTCAGTAGGAATATTAAAGTTTAACCTTTTTTCCCCTTGGTTATTGGAGAAGTAAGTCAGGGCTCGGGCTTTGAAGGCGAAGGCCTGGACCCCAACCCTCACACGAAGCTCAACCACTCTCTCAAGCGTAAACCCTCGGAAAGAACTATACAATCCGGGGAAAGAAAGCCTAGCACCAGCAGCCCCATAAACCCCTGCATAAACCACAACAACCCTTAACAACCCTACGAAACACAATAAAACCCGGTCTAAACCCTAAACGGTCGCCTGGATCGGGTGGGAAAGGCCGGCCAACTATGCGGCGACGGCTCCCGGCCGTTCCCTGAACCGGCTCTTGGTTTGTAGCCAAGTTTTGTAACCGTGGGACCTTAGAGGTTTAGGGTTTGGGGTTTGTGTAGATTGTAGCCAAGTTTTTTATATAGATAATAGCCAAGTTTTGTAGCCGTCCGACCTTGTTCTTGTTCCCTTTTTTGGTAGGGTTCAGAGTTTAGGGTTTAGGGTTTATGGTTTGGGTTTTGGGTTTTGGGTTACTTGTAGCCGTGATGCCGCCCAAACCCTACACCCGAACCCTTTTTCCTCCTCGTACAAGGTAGGTCCCACATCTTCTCACAAGCTGAAGATCCCGATGTTACTGTCTCTGCTTAAGAACCCACAGAACACCAAAATATAATCCCTGTCCGGCCCTTATAAGGAGGAATGTTTTTTATTTTTTGTTGGGCGGGGTTCTTGTAACGAGGGCCCTTGTCTGAAGGCTAGGAGTGTTTTTTTAGCTGCCTAGGGCCTCTCTAGGGCTTGTTCAGGGTTTGGGGGCTGGCGTCGGATGGGACTTGAGGGTTCATAGACTTATACCCATATCCGGGCACTTAAGGGGCATGTAAGTTGGTTTTAAGTAACCCTAAACCCTAAACCCTATAAGTACAGCTATAATTGGTTAGTAAGTACCAGGAACCTCCAAGTGGGTCTTGAGGGTTCATAAGGCGGAGGTCCGGAGGTCCACTTTCTCTGCTTCCATACCAGCAGCGCTGCGCTGTGCAGCTGGCGGCGCGCTCTCCATCCCTTCCCCCACTTCAATATGAAACCTTCCTTCCTCCCGAATATCAAATATATAAACAAATATATACATATATATATACACATATATATATATATTTCACATACACCATCATAAAACTAGAATGGGAGTATTTAATGTTAGAGGGGGGGGGGGGTCAATGTTAGGGGGAGGGGAATACAACTGTGATCCCAATGCCCTCAAGGGGCGTTGCTTCACAGGTCGTCAAGATGTGCAGAGTCGGACTTTGCTCTGAAACATGAAGTTCTTGAAGCCCTTGCGCCCCGGAAGTCCGAAAAAAGCCACGAGGCATCAGTTCAGAGCAAAGTTCGCGTGACGACCTGCTGAACATGGCTTATGGTGTGCAATATGTCCAGCTTGGGATGTTCCCCCTTATACTAGCAGTCCTTACTAGGGAGTATAGTACTGCCTATTAGAATCCCTATTCAGGAGCTGTTAGTATAAGGGAGAACATCGCAATATCCAACGGTCTTTTGTCTTGTTGGGAGGGGGGGGTGCGTCTTGAAGATGTCTGTTGCCAGCTTCCCTTTGCAATCCAGATTCCATGCATGCACAGTTATCACCCTACACCCTACACCCTAAACCCTAAACCCTAAACCCTACACCCTACACCCTAAACCCTAAACCCTAAACCCTAAACCCTAAACCCTAAACCCCGACCCTATGAAACCTCAAACTGTCATCGCTTCGTGGCCTTCTTGTGGGTACTTACTGTCATCAGCCCTTACCTCGGCTGCTCACGAGCTGGCAATTTCAGGGCAGCCCATGGGTTTTGGTTTGACCTAACGGTTCTTGGGCCCCTAAACCCTAAACCCTAAGCCCTTAACCCCAAACCCTAAACCCTAAATCCTAAGCCCTGAACCCTAAACTCCAAACCTCGCCATTGCCGTTCAGGGTTGCGGGTTTCTGTTTCAACTTTCGCTGCTGCCGCTCAGTGTTCGCCCAAGTGCGCACGCGCTGGAACCCAGCCCAACACCCGAAGCCTCTTCACAGTCCAGCTTGCGGAGACCCTAAACCCTAAACCCTAAACCCAAAACCCTAAACCCCCCCGAAATAGCCGGCTGTTGGGATATTCGCCCATATACTAACAGTCCTGAATAGGGATTTAGAAAAAGTATCGCCTAGGTTCGTATCAGAAACCACATCCCAGGCCGGCTCACATGTGGCTGTAGCCGTGTGGGACATCTCGCGCAAGTCGTTAGATATCACCTCCTCAACTCCATCTGTTGGGGCCACGCTGCCACAAAAGTTCAACCAGCCCACGCAACAACCCGAAACCCCAAACCCTAAACCCTAAACCCCAAACCCGAAACCCTAAACCTAAACCCTGGCCCGAAACCCTAAACCCTAAAAACCCTAAAAACCCTCAAAACCCTCAAACACCCTAAAACCCTAAACCCCTAAACCCCTGACCAACCAGAAGACAGGGCTTGCTGGTGCCTGGGCCACGGGTCCTGATTGCTGCAGCCATGGCCCTGGCGCCTGCATGGGCGCCCTCGTACCGGACAAGCACCCCCAGTGTCTCTGCGCCCATACCCGCAGACCCCTGGGAGGATCGAAAAAAGTAGATCCCCTGAAGGGTTCCTAAGAATGACCCAAGAGTAGTCTAGGGTACTTTTTTGGGGTTTCGAGTTTCCTCCCGGGGGTCTGGGTAGGTCTTGGGGCTTGTGGGCTCTCATTCTCCCAAAGCCTTCTATCCACCCGTGCTTAAGGTTGAAGCTTTGCCTTAAGAACACAAACCCTCGATATTTGTAGGCTCTTATCATGAAAGCCCTTATAGGTTGTCCAAAGTCTTTAGGCTTTGGGCACCCCTACAATCCCCCCCCCTCCTCCCCCCCTCCCAAACCCTAAACCCTAAACCCTAAGCCCTAAAACCTAAACCGAAAAAAGAAAGCAAACAAAAAGCAGCCAAAGGCCAGATGTTCGCAGCTGGCCTTTACTTTCTCCTGGCTCCGAGATGCCAGGCAGGGGTACCCCAAGCCATAAACCCTAAACCCTTAGCTCGGGTCTGGGGTTTAGGGTTTAGGGTTTAGGGTTTAGGGTTTAGGGTTTAGGGTTCGGGTTCAGGGTACAGCGGGTCTCTGTATCTCTGCTTTTGGGATGCTGAGGTTTGGAGTTTGGGTCTTGAGTTTGGAGGTTGTGGGGGGTCCCTATATGGCAGAATTGAGCCTCAAGACTTGAGGCCATTCTGAGGGTTTGTGAAGAGGGCGCTTGTTGGGCTTGACGATGGCTTTTTGAGGAGTTGGGGCTTATGTAGTGTTTTGGGCTGGGTAGGACCTTGGGACATTTTCTCCTTTCCCTTAAGAGGATCAGGTTCAGAATATTTTCAGAGGGTTGTAAGGGCCATCCGAGCGGAGGGTCTTCGCTCAGGTTTGCGGTCTAGAGAATTTCCGAGGTCTACAGGGCTTCTTCTCTGCCAAAATTGGGCCCAGCCCCATATGTTGGTCACCCTCCCAGTCGTGAAGTTAGTCCTGGCCTACAAACCCTAAACCCTAAACCCCAAACCCCAAACCCTAAACCCTAAACCCGAAACCCTAAACCCTAAACCCTAAACCTCCCCCCAAGTCCTCCCAAGGCTCTCTGGACAGAGACCTTTGACGTCCTGATGGCGCCCATCCAGGCCGTGTCGGGTTGACCAGGGCGGGCTCTAAACCTCAATTAGGGTTTAGGGTTTAGGGTTTAGGGTTTAGGGTTGAGGGTTTAGGGTTTAGGGTTTAGGGTTTAGGGTTTAGGGTTTAGGGTTTAGGGCTCCCGAGAGATTCAAAGAAGGGGCTTCAGTCCCTGTCACAAGCCACTGTGTCCCATAACGGCTGCACCCTGCCTGTGCTAGGGGTTGGTGTTTTTGGACTTTCGGTCTGGGTTTAGGGTTTAGGGTTTAGGGTTTAGGGTTTAGGGTTTAGGGTTTAGGGTTTAGGGTTTAGGGTTTATATAGGGTTTAGGGGAATGGCGCGATTCCCAGGGACATGGCAGAGCAATCTTGTTCATGGCCGGGCCGGGGGGAGGGGGGGGGACATCCTGTCGAGTCGTTTGCTGATCGCCGTTCAGTTGGCTGGGGTATGTTGTGGTACATTGTTCAAGCAGTTTCGGGTATACACCCTAAACCCTAACCGGCCGTGTCTCCACAGTGGATGGTTCCAGCCTGGCCAGCTTTGAAACATGCGATTTATATTCTATTTTTCGACCTTCCGCACTGTCAGAGTGGAAGCCGTTGACCTTCTGCTACAAGCTGCCCAAACCCTAAACCTTAAATTATAAGCCCTAAACCCTTCAACCCGAAACCCTAAACCCAGTTATAATTGGTTTATAAGTACCATGAACCTCCAAGCAGGAGCTGATCGACGCCCACAGCCACTGCGGATGGGCCAATCCGATCCCTGGCGACATATGGTAAAGAGCTGGGTTTAGCGTTTAGAGTAGGGTTTAAATTTGAGGGTTTGAGGGTGTAGGGTTTAGGGCTTCGGGTCCTTGAGCCAGAAGAAGACTCTGGGTGTAAGATTCTGGTTGAAGGCAGCTCCTTTACACGCAATCTTTCCACGACATACCAGATAAGCCGATGTATGTATTATGTACGTCCAGTAAACCCTGAGCCCTGAACCCTGAACCCTAAACCCTAAACCCTAAACCCTAAACCCTAAACCCTAAACCCTAAACCCTAAACCCTAAACCCTAAACCTTGTTTTGTGACGTCTGGCTGCTTTGAGGATGGATCTCAAGGTGGTCGCAAGCACCAAGAGCGACTTTGAGGAGCGCTCCAGGGTTTTGTTTGGGTTTAGGGTTTAGGGTGTAGGGTGTAGGGTTTTAAGGGTTTGTCGGGTTTTTTTCGGGTTTATAGAGTTTGTAGGGTTTATAGGGTTTAGAGGGCTTAGGATCACCGATTTGATGTGGTCGTGATGGAACTTCGTGAAGGGAAATTTCACGCCGCCCAACGGCGGGTTTAGGGTTTAGGGTTTAGGGTTTAGGGTTGCAAAAGGTCGAAGAGTCTGGATTCAAAGAGGGTTTGCTGTAGGGGTTTATGGCAAAGGCTTAGGCTTCTGCCCTTCAGAGACTCCCTAAACCCTAAACCCTAAACCCTATAGTAGTTGGTGTATAAAAAATCGTATAGGCTCTGTAAGCTTCTGGGCGAAAGGGTTTAGTACAGTCCGGGCTTTGGGGGTGCTCAGGGTTTAGGGTTTGCGGCTAGCTCTAAACCCCGAAACCTAAACCCCAAACCCTAAACCACAGACCCAACTGAGCGCTATACCTAAAAGTATTTATATATATATATATACATATGTTTTTTTTACCTTGCACAGTCCCTTTTTACCTGAGTAGCCCCTAAATCATCAGGGGGAACCCTCAACCCTCAACCCTCAACCCTCAACCCTAAAGGGGGGGGGGGGGGGGGGATTGGTGGATACTCGCGCGAGGCGCAGATCGAGATCCGGGCCGACGGCTGCACCTCGGATCCTCGTTCTGGGTCGTTGAACTGAACCCCGAAAACTTTTCGGGTTTAGGCTGTATAGGGTTTAGGGTTTAGAGTTTAGGGTTTATTGAGGGTTTAGGGTTGATTTGGTCCACGTGAAGATTCCGAGCTGAGCAGTTGACAATTTGGCAGAACGTATGTATGTTTGCTTGGACAGAAAGTTTGTCAAAGGTCTTTCCCAGCTGGCTTCAGGAGTCTGGGTTTAGGGTTTAGGGTTTAGGGTTTACGGTACAACCCTAATAAAAAAAAAAAAAAAAACACCCGCAAACCCTAAAGCCCGAAGACCCTAGGCATCCCCCAAGCCCAGCGCGCGAGACAAGGAAGTCAACGAGACCGTAAGCCCTACAAGCGGTTTCGGGTTTAGGGTTTAGGGTTTAGGGTTTAGGGTTTACAGTTTAGGGTTTAGGGTAACATCTATGACACCTAAACCCTTAATCCCTTAAGCCCTGGACCCTAAACCCTAAAAACTTGAAATCTAGAACCCTAAAGACCTATTCCCTGTAGACCCTACGCCCCAGAACCCCAACAAGCCCGGGCTGGTCTAAGCGTTTCCATGTCCTGGTAGGGCTATAGAGATTTGGGGGCTTTAGGGTTTAGGGTTTAGGGTTGTTTGGGGGTTTTAGGGTTTAGGGTTTTGTGGGCTTTAGGGTTTGAGGCTGGAGGGCTTGGGGTGCTTGTTGGGGATTTTAGGGCGACATTTGCCCACGAATGGCAGGTTTTCTTCGGGAGGCACTTTGATTCTCCAATGCCAAACCTCGAACCCTAAACCCGAAATCAATCTCTTTGCAGCCATGCTAAGTTGAGTTGTCCAGCTACGCCGGAGACTGATCCCCAGTCGCCATAGGTCTTCCTATGCAGAATTGCAAGCCCCTTGGTTCAAGGGGGTTGCAAACCCCACAATTAAGCTTCAAGCCCTACCCAAAGAGCCCAATACCATCCAATACCCCTTAACGAAGAATATTCCTAGGTCTTTTTGTTCCCCCTTCTTTTGTGGCAGACCTGCCCCCTGCAGGCACACTGACTTTTGGCGTCGGCTCCAGTGTGATTCTAGCCGGCTTAAGATGTAGTTGAGCCAAAACATATCCATGAAGCACGAATCAGATGGCAGGTCATCTCACGGGATGCCTTGAGGATGCGGCTGAAGCGCTTCTGCGAGGTGAAGGAACCCGTGAAGTCCTGGGTTAATGCCGAAGTCCCAGCGGATTACAAGAAGGGCGGGGAAGCCCACGAAGCTTTGGAGATGAGTCTTTTGGAGACCCTTCGTGCCCTCGGTCCGCACCAAGACAAGCCAGCCCAAGTGAGGGTGCACATGTGAATTTCTCGGGTGTCCGTCTGCGTGCACCTGTGTTTGTGCTCAACCGTGCGGAGATGGAAGCACACCGAATTGCTGCAGACCGCATGTGTGGTAAACGTGGTGGCGGTGAAGGAGCAGCTGCTCGCAAGGGAGCAGGAGTTTCTGGCTGAAGCATCAAGTCCAAAACCCTAAACTCCCTAAACCCTAATCCTAGACCCTAAACCCTGAATGCCAACAAACGCCCGAAACCCGAGCACCCCAAACCCTGAACCCGGAACCCTGAGCCCTAAACCCTAAACCCCCAACCCCCCCCAGAAGCTGTGCGCTTCGAGGTGGCAACCGCCTCTTGATGATGGGCGGCTTCCTGCAGTGTGCCTCGTCCTTTGGGATGTTCCCTATTGCAGACCTAAACCCTTAGAGCCATTTAGGGTTTAGGGTTTAGGGTTTAGGGCTTACGGTTTAGGGGATGTTCCCCCTTATACTAACAGTCCTTAGTAGGGACTGAAGTACCCCCTATTCTAGTTCCTGTTACGGACTGCTAGTATAAGGGGGAACATCCTAACTCATTCTTCTTAAGACCCCCCCCCCTCCCAACAAAAAAACAAGAAAAAAACATATCCCTATTACCGGTATAAGAAAGATTTTTTTGAAACGATTAGTAGTCCTTTGAAGCATTGCTCAGACGGTATTCAAGTGGTCCCCCCCCAGAAGTTGGACACCTCCTCTTCCACAAAGCTGCTGTCTTCAGAATCCCAATTTGAAGCTCAAGAATGACTTACCTGGCCAATAGTTCAACTTTAAACTTTTTGGGTTTCCTTATCTAGTAGCAATAGAAAGGTTTAACCTTTTTCCCCCTTGGTTATTGAAGAAGTAAGATGATGTTAGACCCACCCCCCCGCCTTGGCATAGAGCTCTAAGGTTGAGGCTTGGCTTTGAGGTTTTTAAGGCTTCAGGGCAGTGGAGTTTTTTGTGTATTGAGGGGCTGAGGCTTAGGCTTAAGGGCTTAGGTTGTAGTATAGAGTTTAGCGCTCTTTTATAGATAGAGGGGGCACGCTTAGGGTTTAGGGCTTAGGGCTTAGGGTGTGTACAGACTTCATTTTTTAATACATATAGGGATAGGGTTTAGGGCTTAGGTTGTATAGTTGCGGAGTGTAGGGTTTGGGGCTTGGAAGCCCTCAGTTTGGGAGGATGCAGGGTTGCCTTCGTTGTAGTTCCCTTTTAGGGTTTAGGGTTTCGGGTGTTTCGAGTATAACGAACCCTACAAGATCTCATAGAGTCATATAGGGGATGTAAGGTACCCAATCCCCTCATTCCCTTCAAGAACTCGCAAGTTCAGGCCACAGCGTGGATGAGCACGTCTACCATGAGATGCTCCTTTGACCCGCAGGAGGATTTCGGGTTTTCGCATTTAGGGTTTAGGCCTAGGCCATTGGGAAACGAGTGACTTAACAGCGGAATCCTTACAGAAAGGGAATCTATACCTTTTTGTCCACTCTGCGTTGTCTTCGAATTGTCGGGTGCCCTCTAAAGCAGCCCAAAAAATTGATGAGCACCCCTCGCAACCACCTTCGTAAACTCCAAACCCTAAACCCTATGAACCCTATAAACCCTATAAACCCAAAAAACCCTATAAACCCCATAAACCTTATAAACCCTAAACCCTCCCCACCGGAAGCCCCGACCCTTGAAAAGGATGGTCCACCCAGCCCTGCTGACGTTCGCCACCCTGTGCCTTGGGGGGGCTTCGCGGGTCTTTTCGGGCTGGGGAGTTGGGAGGTTCGTAGGTTGCAGCTAGGGTTTGGGGTTTAGGGTTTAGGGCTTAGGGTTCAGGGTTTAGAGTTTAGGGTTTCGGGTTCGGGGTTTAGGGTTTAGGGGGAGGGGAATGGATGTTCACCAGATTGCTCGAAAGTATATTGCAGGCATTGTGTTGGGAGTCTACGCTTCGGACACGTTCTCAACTTTCAGATTTATGTACTCTGTTTGGAGGTGATAGGTTTAGGGTTTATTAGGGTTTAGGGTTTAGGGTTAGGGTTTAGGGTTCAGGGTTCAGGTTTTTAGGGTTTCTGGACATCCAACCTGCCCTTGCTGGTTCTTTGTCGCACCGGATTGTACCAAGAGAGACTCCCAAAGCCGTGCAATCTACGATGGCGAAGAACCCGTGCCGCTAAACGCACGAAGAAAGCGTTTTGAAGGCATGAAGCAAACGCTATGAAAGCTTTTTCTCTTTGCACTGCTTTCCTGGAGCAATATCGATCATCTCTTCAGTGATGTGCCCGCTTCATCCGCAACTCAGCAAGAACAAAAAAGGCTTTCTCAAGACCGGACAGAGATGCTGCAGGCTTAGTTCAGAGCCTGAAGCCACAAAACCCCGAAAAACTTAAAACCCTACACCCTTAATCCACAGGGCTTACAAGCTCAGCATTTTGTTCAGTACTTGCAGGTTCATGCTACTCAGAAACCCAAATATACCTGTACTCGTAACCCTAATTAGGGGCTTATATGTGGATTAGAACTGAACCCAAAACCCTAAACCCCAAACCCTCTAAGTACCCCTGAACCTTCAAGTAAGGGCCGGGCGGCCACCGCACAGCGTCTTCCTCGGTGGCAGCGGCGACGGCGCTGGGCCGCGGGAACTGCTCCGCTGGTCTGGGCAGGGATTGCCCTAAACCCTGAACCCTAAACCCTAAACCCTAAACCCTAAACCCTAAACCCTAAACCCTAAACATTATAGGAGACAAGGACCCAGAGTAGGCCCTCATTCCCCTTTGTTTTTAGGGCTTTGGTTCCATTCTTAAGCCCATGTAAACTCCTAGGTTACTCCTGGGTCTAGGAGACGACGCAAGTTTCAAGGTTTAGGGTTTAGGGTTTAGGGTTCAGGGTTTTAGAGGCTTCTGAGACTTCAGGGTTTGCCTGCAACTCCTATTTGCCTATGGCTTCCTTTCCTGTTCACAAATGGGCTTCAAGAGTTGTGTTGCGAAAGAAGACACCCTGCTATCTGGATCCAGGGCTCCAAACCCTAAGCCCTAAAATCCTCGGAGGGGTTGGCAATCACCAGGCCTTCAGAGGGTGGTGAGAGGTTTGGGGTTGAGGGTTGAGGGTTGAGGGCCCAGGGTTCCACCATGGGCTTAGGATATTTGCCTAGGCCCCAAAGATGTAAAACCCCAATTTGGGGATGTGTGAGTTTGTGGCGTTTAAAACCCTAAACCTTGAACCCTAAACCCTAAACCCTAAACCCTAAACCCTAAACCCTAAACCCTAAACCCTAAACCCTAAACCCATTCACGGCATGGGGGTGTTAAGGGGGTTTGGCTTCCAGGCGACTCCTGAACTTTAGGGTTTCTACAGGGTCAGACCCTTTGGGAGGTTCCTAAAGGTAGGTCCCCCTTAAGGGTTCCTAAGAATGATCCTTAATGGTAATATAGTGTTTGGGGTTTAGGGTTAGGGTGTACTATTTACGGGGGGGTCTACTTTTTGGATCCCCCTAGAAATCTGGGACGTCAGGCAGAGCCTTAGCAACGTCACCATGGTGGACATCGACTATGAGGCCGGTAGAACCGGTGGGTTTCTAGGGGTCAGCATCAAGTAAAAGGTTATTTCCCAAAATCAGGGCACCCGAATAGACCCTTAGGCCCTAAACCCTAAACCCTAAACCCTAAAACCGCTTTGTTGGGAAGGTGACGCGATTTGCTCTCGAGTGGGTGCCCGGCTTCGCCTCCGGCAGCTTTGAGGATCCCAGGCTGCGCCTCATCACCGGCTCCTGGCTTCATGTTGGGGGGGCGAGGGAGGTTTAGGGTTTAGGGTTTAGGGTTTGGGGTTTGGGGTTTGGGGTTTAGGGTTTAGGGTAGCAGGTTTACACATGTCTGAGCTTATTGGCTGCGCTGGGTTCACAGGGCTTATTCCCTTGTTGATTTAAGCGAAGCTTCTCCGGACAAAGTGCTTTTTTCTTTAAGTCTCAGCCGCCAAAGCCCTTCTTGGCTTTATGAGGACCTTACTGACAGTCAGACGGTCAGATTCACCAGGAATCTGACTGTGCCCCTGATATCGAGAGTCAGCGGGTTTAACGTCTCTAAACCCTAAACCCTAAACCCCTTTTTTCCCGTGCGAGCGCCTGAAAAAGACTCAGGCGATGCATGGATCCACCTGAAGGAGATGCCCGAGGACAGGGCTTTAGGGTTTGGGGTTTAGGGTTTGGGGTTTAGGGTTCAGGATTTAGGGTTTAGGGCTAGGGTGTTTTTAGGGTTTGGGGGTTTACGGTTTGGGATCAGGGTGTAGGTTTTAGGGTTTTTTTTTAAGGGCCTGGGGAATTAAATTTCAGGAGTTTAGCGTGTAATCCAGTCGGGGGTTGCTTTGCTTGTTTCTAGCAGGAGTGGGTCCCCACTGGGAACTCTCCGAGCACCATGCTCCCAGGTCCCTAAAACCTAAGCCCCAAACCCGAGCCCAGTTTTCGGGTTCATGTAGTCCTCAATCCGAAACACTAAACCCTAAATCCTAAACCCTAAGAGGTATAGACCAGTCCTCTGAACACAGAGTAGCTCCCTGAGGATCAGACATTTGACATTCTGATCCTGGACTTTCCAGATGCCTTTGATAGCAAGGAGCTGGAGAAGCTCTACAGCGCCCAGACTGGTGGTGTAGGTTGTAGGTAGGGTTTAGGGTGTCGGGTTTAGGTTTAGGGTTTGGGGGCTTGGGGGTCAGGATTTAGGGTTTAGGGGGGTGTAGGGCTGAGGGTTTAATTCGGGTTTAGGGCGACTAAAATCGCACCTGCTCCCCCAAAGCACAACACCTAATCGAGGTGCAGACCTCACGTCTTCTCCATGGCTTCCCAACACTCCCCGAAACCTGGCTTCTCGAGGCAAAGAGTTCTACAAACTCTGCCGGTCACACATGCACGACAAGAGCGTCCTCGTGACCCAGAGTGGGCCCTGTGACGCTCGGACGGTTGGTCCCTGAAGCCCTTGTCCAGGACCCAGAGTAGGCCCAGGTTTGGGTTCCCTTAGAAGCCCTTTACAACCCAAACAGGCACCCTGTTTATTCCCAGGTTACTCTTTGGTCTAGCTATGTTTGCGGCTGGCACAGCCATGAGCGCTTTTTCTTCTTTTCTCTCTAGGGGCTCCATGGCCATATGACAGGTTTGTTTCAAGGGCGGGTTCTCCTTTCTTAGGAGGGACAGGCGGGTCTCTTCCAAGAGGGTCCCTTCAAGGAGGAGTCTACTATGTTGGAGGTGACCAGGGTGGGCATGTTCTTATTTGAATCCCCCCTTTGAATTTCGTTGTCAAGGGCAGTTTTGTCAAAAGCACCGGGTTGCGGATCAACACCCGATCCCGAAGTCCCTGACCCGAAAAGTCACCGGAGAGTTGTTTGTGGCCGCACTGCCCGCGCGCTGGCTCTTGTTCTCCATTCACCCTGAAGCCCATTTACGAACTCTACACCCCTAGACCGACCGAGACACCAAATCTTGCGCAAAAAGAGTTTTAGGGGTTATGGCCCCAAATCCCCAAACCCCAAACCCCAGACCCCAAACCCCAAACCCCCATACTAAACAGACCCTAAACCCAGGTTTAGGGTTTAGGGTTTAGGGTTTTAGGGGTTGGGGGTTTAGGGCCCCTGCCCCAGGCCGAAGTAACCCGGTCCGGGACAAGAGCGAAATGCTGGCTGCGACTTCTCCAAGTTTGAGATTTCAGGGTTTAGGGTTTAGGATTTAGGGTTTAGGGTTCAGGGGGTAGTAGGGTCTTGGGTAGGGTTGGTTGCCATGTTGAGCCCGCATGGGCGGGGGGGGGGGGGGGTTTAGGGTTTAGGGTTTAGGGTTTAGGGTTTAGGGTTTAGGGGGTTTAAGGTTAGGGTTTGGGGGGTTTAGGGTTTAGGGGGTTTAGGGTTTAGCCTAAAACCTAGGTTCCTTGCAGGGCTTCAGGGGGTTGTAGGTTTCATGTGGGGTCCAGGGTTCCGGGCCTGCGCCTGGCGATCGAGCAGGTCCGGATGGCAGGATGTCAGTCAGACCCATTTTCAAGGTTGTGGCGTCAACGCGAGAGAGGAAAGAGGGCGGAGCGAGAGAGAGCCCTAAACCCACAACCCGAAACCCTAAACCCTAAAACCCTAAACCCTAAACCCGAAAGAGAGGAAGAGAGAGAGAACTCTCCTGCTGCCAAAGGCTGGAAGAGCTGATCCTTCCCAGCCTCACCGCCGTCTTCGCTCATGTGGCGTCGTGCTTGCTCTAGGGTATATACGGTTTAGGGTTCAGGGTTTAGGGTTAGGGTTCAGGGTTTAGGGTTAGGGTTTAGGGTTTAGGGTTTACCTGTCAATCCCCCGTTCCATAAAAAAACTGTCCTTTTGAAGAGGCCGGAAAAATCCAGCCGCGCAAAAAACCCGTCCGCTTTAATGATGGTCAGAAACCTATTTCCAAGTGGAAACCAGACACCCACACAATTCTGCAGAAAAAGTGGCCTTTTCAGAAAAAGTGTCCTCTTGTTGGGTTTGCGTTGGGTTTGGGGTACACTTTTTTCCCAACATTTTCCCAGCATTTTTCCAACAAAGTAGGGATTCGGTACGGTTTACGTTTTTTTGGGCTACCCCCCCCCCCCCCCCCCCCAAAAAAAAAAAAAAAAAAAACCAACATTATGTTGAAAAAACGTTGGGTTCAGAGTACGCTTTTTTGTGTTCTGCTCAGGTCACCTATTCTTTGGTGCACAAGACTCTGCACAGGGCTCGGGAAGGTTCCCCTGAACTCCGAAAATTTAGCCGCTTTGATCGTATTCCCCGATCCCAATAGAACACCAACACCTCGCTTTTGCACGCAAAAAACCAGAAAATGCCATAAGGACAGAAATTTCTGACCGCCAGGATTAACAGGTAGGGTTTAGGGTTTAGGGTCTAGGGTCTAGGGTTTAGGGTTCAGGGTTCAGGGTTCAGGGTTTAGGGATAGGGTTTAGGGTTAGGGTTTAGGGTTTAGGCGAATTGGACACAGAGTGACACAGACCCAGCTATGGCGAACATGTGGCACAACCGCTTAGTTAGTGACCTAAGGTTTTGGGTTTCAGTGGTTTAAGGTTGAGTAGTGTGTCTGGGGAATGTAGAGATGCTGGTATGAGGGCCTAAGTCTAATCTGAGGACGTCTTCCTCCACCCAATGGCCACATGGAAAGCCGACAAGAAGTTTCCGTCTGAGTGGTCCAGCTTCTCACTGGCCAGGAGCCCCGACGGGTTTTAAGGGTTCAGGGTTTACGTGTTTTAAGCAACTCCTGCAGCTGCAAAAACCCGTTGCTAATGAGAGATGCATTTGGTCAGTGTTTTTTTTTTTTTTTTACACTTTTCCCTTCGTGGTGTTTGCTTTTCGCGGGTACAATCTTATTGTGATTTGCATTGAAGCTATTTAGGGGACGCAATGACGACCTACCAGCATTTGCTGGGGGTACCGCGTAGCCCACTGGTAACCCTCACGCCTTTGCCCTCATGCCAGGGTGACGGTTCTTGAGTGAGCATTGAGCATTGAGCATTGTGTTATATCATCAGGATGACTGGCAACGTCTGTGTTTTTCATATAATATGTACATACATATATATATATATATATATGGTCACACACCCCCCCCCCATGATCCATATGTATCCTTTTCTTGCTTGTCCTTCTGCACCTGTGCTTATTTGCACATATGATTGAAGTGAAAAAACACCGGTATTTACGATACTTTCGTGTCTTGCCATGTCTGAAGCTACAACTTGCTATTGATTATCTACACTTTTAAACAACAGAAATCTACAAACAGAATCCGTTTCTGGATTTGGTTTTGTGTGGTTTGCTAATCTCTGTTATTCACTCTATAGTAGCTTCCAATATACACCTTCTTGAACTTCAACAATATTCATTGATTAGATAAATATTACCTTATAAACCATTGTATAATGCATGAACATAAAAGAAGAGATGAAGGGGTTTCAAATAAAGCACCTAACACAAGAAGCAGACAACATAATGAAGTTAGAGACGAATTCGCAAAGACAGAGACATTCTTAACGGACACGCAAGGACTTAAATTAGCGTATGAGAATCCTGACGGGACATATCAAACATGGTTCTATTTTATACATTGCTGGGACTAAAAGCTGTAGAGATGTTTATGGTGATTGAAACCTTCCTTTATATAAGACGCAACTGACTCAGTGTTATAAAGATGTAGAGAAGTTCATTCAAGATGGTTTTATTGAAATAGACGGTTAAAGAAAAGAAGAAACTGGAATTTCTGGTATTGTAAGTCACAGTTTAGGTTCAGCATCGGGACAACAAATAAACAATGATTATGGGAATGTATTCAGAAGTCGTAGCTATGGTTCTCCTTATGTATCAGGACAACGACCAGAAGACACTGGGACAAAACATATGAATACGGAAAGTAGAAGACCCCGTTAGTATGTTTGAAAAAGGAAGTATAACATCAAAGAAATCAACATTAGACCCTCTACAAAAACATCCTTATGAAGATATCGGCAATATTAAAAACAAAGCAGGACATCTACCTATAACCGAAGAAGAGTTTTTAACAACAGTTTGATGCCATAATCATTTCATAAGAAAGCAACAACATACGAACAACTAGAGACATCGAAGATAGAGAAGCAACTTAAACAACATGCTTACGAAGAGATAAGAAAGTTAGTTGAGAATAATTAAGTAGATGAAGCAGTTAAGCAGGTGAAAGGTAGGAAGAAGAATAATAGTAAGACACTTCATATAGTTTTGAATTACTTGATTGAATACAAGTTGAAGGTATGTATATGTAATCAAATTATCTATGCTATGTATATATCATGGAAACTTTTAGTCCCGCAGATATCCTCATTGATAGTTTAAGTTTTCTTTGACACAAAGGTAGTTCTTATGTTAATTGTCAAGGGTTTAAGACCAAAACGATTGTTGGATTTAAACCATTGCGTGGCCTCTTCTCACAATTTAGATATTTGCCGTCAAAAAACATGGGAAACTTACCAATTGAAATAGAATTGGTAACTAATGCTACTAATTGTATCAATTACCGCAGTCAGAATATCAAGAGATTTCGGGAAAACTCGAGCCGGCTCGAATTTTCCGAAAAATCTCCAGGCACCAGGTCACCACAACTCGAGCAGGTTCGAATTTTCGAAAATTCGAGCCGGCTCGAATTTTCCTAAAATTCGTGAAGCTTTAGGTCCCAGAAACTCGAGCAGGCTCGAATTTTCCAAAAAAAAACCTAACTTTCAGGATCTACCGGGCTGCTGGAGCCATAGATCCTGAAATTTAAGGTTTTTTTTTGGAAAATTCGAGCCTGGTCGTGTTTCGGCAATCTACTGTGTCAGTTTTTTTTGGAAAATTCGAGCCGGCTCGAGTTTTCTAAAAAGGCATGATTTTTTCGGGTATTTTTCTACCTTGTTGATGTAAATGACCTGCTTGACTTGAAATGATATAGGTTTTTATCGGCCCTGTCGGTGTTTTTGTCGCTAGCTCATAGCCCCCTCTCCTCCCAAGATCCATCTGTTTCGAAGCAGAAACGTGGATCATGGGGGGGGGGGGGGCGTGAGCATATATATATATATATGTGCATATGCATCTATATACATATCTCAGATTCGGACTACTATTTACATGTGCGTGTGTAGTTCAGTGTGCGTCCCTGAACTCATTTACTCCGAGGCCATCATTTTCCCACATATTCGATGGCTTTTTCTAGCCCTTCCTGGGCCTTCACCGCAAAAGAGTCCTTAGAGAACCGGGGATCTAGAGTAGACCGAATTTTACAGTTCAAGCGCCTCGAAAATAGGCCCTTCTTTTGGGTTTTGGGTTATTAGGACCCAGAGTAAGCCCTCATTCCCATTTTTAGGGTTTGGGTTCCCTCAAGAAGCCCCTTTAAATCAACAAAGGAACCCATTTTCTGTTCCCAGGTTACTCTTGGGTCTTGGAACTTGTAGGGTTTAGGGATTAGGGTTTAGGGTTTAGGGTTTAGGGTTTAGGGTTTAGGGTTTAGGGTTTAGGGTTTAGGGTTTAGGGTTTAGGGTTTAGGGGTACGGCTCAAGGTCTTTTCCGGATGTTCACCCTCACTTATAAGTGCCCGAGACCTTCGGGTCGCGTCGCCACCCCAAACCCTAAGCCCCAAATCCTAAGCTAAACCCCAAACCCCGAACCCTAAACCCTAAACCCTAAACCCTAAACCCCGAACCCCCCAGACCCCTAAACCAGCACTTAAAATCCTTAAGCCCTTCAACCCCTAATCATCCTAATCCCTATGACCCAGGGTAGGCCCTTGTTCACTTTTTTTGGGGTTTTCGGTATGGACAGGGTCCCCCCTCTATTCCCAGGTTAAACACGCTTAATAAAGACTCTCTAAAGAACCTCCCAGTGAAATTCATGCATATTATAGGGTCGTTATGGGTTTTCACTGTACACATCATCGTATAGGTACAAGACCCAGTAAAGAAAGAAGGAAAACATAGGCGCGTAAACGATGTGTCCGCCGGGCGCATAAGATGATGACTTTTTTGAATGAAGATGACCCAAACCCTAAACCCTAAACCCTAAACCCAAAACCGACCCTGAGTCTAGCTAACCTGCACAGCACCGGGGAGATTGCCGACGACGCCGATGTCTTCGACCGGTATCTGCCAAGCCTGACGAGCCTCAGGCCAGCGAACAACCGCTGAACCCTAAACCCTAAACCCTAAACCCTAAACCCTAAGCCCATCATGACAGGGAGGGTTTGGTGTTCGGGGTTAGAGTCTATAGGGTCGATGGTAGGGAGTTTCGGGTTTGCAGGATTTGGAGGGCGATTGATCGCGCCGATAGAGTTCTTAGGGTTTCAAGGGTGTAGGGTTTAGGTTTTAGGGTTTAGGGTTTAGGGTTTAGGGTGTAGAGGGTTTTTAGCTTTAGGGCGTCTGTGGGGCTTTTTGGGCTACTTGTATGGGGTTTCATCAGGTTTGGGGCACTGAGGGCAGTAGCACAGCTTCGCATTTCCTGGGGTCAGGGTCATAGGGGTTGCGTGTGGGGCGGCTTAAGTGATATCGGAACAGTAAATCCCGCGGGACTCGTGCGAAATGTTAACCCTAAACCCAAAACCTTTAAGCCCTATACCTCTGATCCCCTGATCCGGCATTTCAAATTCCTCACTCAGGTACTACATCCTAAACCCTAAACCCTAAACCCTAAACCCTAAGCCCTAAACCCTAAACCCTAAACCCTAAACCCTAAACCCTAAACCCTAAACCCTAATCTGTCATTTCAACATACTCAGGTACTACACTGCAGAGCGGCATCGCGCTGCACTCCAGCATCCGCAGCCGCTCCAATCGCGCCGCCGGGCTCATGCCGTGTTGCAGTCTAGGTTTAGGGTTTAGGGTTTAGGGTTTAGGGTTTAGGGTTTAGGGTTTAGGGTTTAGGGTTTAGGGTTTAGGGTTTAGGGTTTAGGGTTTAGGGTTTAGGGTTTAGGGTTTAGGATTTCAGGTTTAGGGGGAGACGGGGTCGGGAACTGGGGCTTGCGTCTGAGCATTCAAACTTATGGTTTCGCTTGTGGCAGGCACCAGTGGGCGCCAAACGTAATTGAAGAGGTTTGGGATTCCCCCTTTGTACGAACAGTCCGTAAAGGGATTCCAGTACCCTCTATTGTACACCCTCTTAAAGACTGTAAGTATAAGGGGGAACATCCCAACAAGAGGCCTTAATTTGGCGTTATGGCTTGAAGGGATGTTTCCGCGAACCCTCAACCCTCCACCTGATTGTGAACCCTGCGCCCTAAACCATAAACCCTAAACCCTAAACCCTAAACCCTAAACCCTAAACCCTAAACCCTAAACCCTAAGCATCCCTTGACCCTAAACTTTGCCTTATAAGAGCCCAAGACCTGCTGTTTTGTAGGTTCCCTAAGTGTCCGATAAGGGGGTCCAGAATAAGAGCCCATTGAGCCCACAAAGAGGCATGTTTTGGGTTCTTGAGGCAGGCTTCTAGTGATGTTGAGCGTTGCAGCTTTTTAAGCCTCCTTCGCGCCCTCTATATGAACCCTTAGCTCCACGTCCCTTATAGGGTTTAGGGTTTAGGTTTTAGGGTTTAGGGTTTGACGTTCCCAACCTCCCCAAAGGGCTGATTTAAGCTGGCACGGCAAAGGGCGCACAACCCTAAACCCTACCTGAAGGCTCCAATGTACTTCCTT